CTATTCCGTTCGACAACTGATAATATTGGCTTTCCATCACGGGAATTTGATCCTATCATAAAAATTGAACTGACGGTTCAGGATCTCATCGTATCCATCAAGATAAACACAAACTTCCAATTTTGTTTTATTCTCCCACAGAATCAACCAAGATGACAGTTGAAAGTAGACTTTTCAGCATATAAAGTGTAATCTAAAATTTGTTTTCTAAATCGAAAGAATTCGTAGAATCTAGTGATTACTTTCCTTTGGTGGCACATGTCAGTCTAATGCATTTTAAATTTCTCTAATTACGATTTTGAGGTATCTGTGATAAGTTAAGTTTTTAAGCGAATTTGGAATCAACGTTAAGCCGTTTGACGGAATACATTATATCCGATACGTCTTCAGAGGAGCTACTTTATTAAGCAACTATCCTAAAATTGCCGATACCCGTTTTTTTAACCTCCGAATGTTTGTTTACCAATTGAGTCTCATTTTGGTAAAATCTAATTGCCCCTTGCTGCAGTTTTAAAATTTTAAATTCCGCTGTACATAGGCAATCCTTCCTAAACGTTGGCACGGGCCTATTAAGAGATGCTTATAAGAACTGACGAACAAACTGCCCAAGTTTTTGGATTGGTTTTCTTGAAGGAAAACATATATGGAATCGCAGAACTAAATACCACTGTCTTATCCACGAAAATTCTATTCTCTGGCAGATATCGTAGGTATCCTTAGTTTGCTTGGGTCTAAGTTTCCAACTGTGCTGTTAAGGTTATAAATCCAATGACTACTCTAAGAGCTCGACGCATAAACTTCCTTCCATAACTTCTCAGCATTAGGATGTGTAGTGATACTTGAAAGCGTTGTAATGATTTATGAACTGTTCAGTCGTTTTTGCTTTCCTCTAGCGCTTGTTCCTGGGCACTGCAGGTAACAGAAAGAATTCCAAGTGCTCCAAATTTTGTTTGTCAAATGCGACTCGGTTGCTACCGGTGATCCTAGGTAAAAAATTCCAGTTCTGGTAAAGTTCTGGTAAAAAAAGTCGATGTTTTTGCATTAAAAAAAAAAAAAAAAGATTCGAGGCAAATATATTATTATTGGCTACCCTCGTATACATGACCCCGTCCTTATCATTTTTTTGTCATGGCAAACTCTTGAACCTTGAATTTGCTTTTCGGAATTCTCCAAATGAGCCCTTCCCTCCTTGTAATGCTCGGTCAGTGTTTCGAAAAAAAAAAAAAAAAAAATCTGTTAAACATTTAGTATGACGTATTTTTTGAAATGAATATTATAATAAATAAACCCCGCCCACGGCGATCATTTAAATCTTAGATGCATACTATATGGTCATTGTATGTTACTTCTCGCCAGGTGTCGATCAAACGTTTTGAGTATCACCGGGTCTTTTTCATTTATATATGACATAAAGAAATCTCCGTGCCCAAATTTCTCGTGGCTTTTTACCGCCAGAACTTATCGGGTAAGCGTCTTCCAAGTTGTATAGGATCCGTTTTATTTATTTTAATGATATGACGCTCAAACGGGCATTCTATACTACAGTATATTAGGATAATTCAACGTAATATCAAGATTTTTAACAATAAAATAAAATTAAAGCCGACTTTTACGGTTCTAATATACTGCATTCAATTTCTCAACACATATCGCAAATCGATGTGTTGTTGCTGCGAATAATTTTAAAATTTGGGTTCTGACGAATCACGATTATACGTGAGAATTATTATCGTTCGAAAAAATACAATAAATAAATAAATTCTCGTATACTGTCTATACCTGATATTTGTAAAATAACTTAAAAAATAAATTAAAATAAAAATAAAAATAAAATGACCATATACATATATAAATATACTGTATATACAGTATAGATTATTATTTTTTTTTTTTTTGATAAATTAACGATCAAACGATTCTATTTCATAGAAAAAAAAAAAATCGTTATGCAAATATGTATGCATATCTTGAATCACCGCAATGTTTTAAAACGCTTGCACTTTGTCATATAAGCACGATCATTATTTGATCATATTCGTTGTTTGCGCGTACCCGCTTCTTTCATTTCATTTCATTTCATTTTATCGTCATTTATTCGGTTGTTAATTTTAATTATCTAGCATCTCTTCATTTTACTGATTTCGTTTTAATTGATTGATTATTTATCTTATCCTATTCACTTCACTTATTGAGCATTTACCCATTTTATTTATTCATCTCATCTTTTTTTTTTCATTGATCCATTCATTCATTCATTCATTCATTCATTTGACTTGATTCATTTGATTCATTTGATTTGATTGATTTGATTTGATTTATTTAAAATTGCTGTTATTCAAGGTTTATGGAAAAAGAAACTTTGAAACCATTTGAAAAAAAAATGGATAAACAAATAAATAATAAATAAATAATAAATAATAAATAATAATATAATAATAATAATAATAATAGTGATGATGGTGTACAAGATGTGCGATCGACCCATTCTATGAATCCGATGATTATTAATGAGAAAGAAGCGATCATTTCGTAATATCAGTTTGTTACATTAGCCCGGAGAATGTTAGTCCACATTCATTTCAATCACTTTGTTATGTATAGCGAGGGATACTCGGGGATTCGATGCGCTACCCATTTTCCCGAATTGGGACCTTTGCGCATTCCATTCACCCTCTAGCGTATTCGGGTACATTGTGCACCCGAGTTTATTAATTGATTAATTAATTGAAAATTTGTAATCGATGTTTTGAAACATAAAAAAGGGCATTGGTCAGGATCGTCGGGTGTCTTAATTTTCATCTATATGGATCAATTGTCAGAAGTTTAGATTATCACATGTTATCTGTATGGCATGTGTTTGTTGTGGTGGGTGTATGATATCTGGATTTGTTTTTTCCTTTCAAAGGGTTAATACCGTTTGACCTTGTCATTCATGTTTTTTGATGTTTAATGTATATCATGTAGTGTATTTATTTATTTATTTATTGATATACAGTATTATCGTGCCATTATGCTTGCACTAATGAGATTTTCTTCATAAAATTCGATTTAAAATAATTTTAAATGTTTCGCATTTTTTTTTTTTTAATAATAATTTTCGGGGTCACAACGCGATTAATTAACGTTCCGAGTTCGGTGCGTTCTTCGTCGGATGATTCTGGAAGAAAAGTGCCAGCAGACATTTTTTTTTTTTTTGGCAATGTGATCCTTTTTTTAAATTACCATCTACAGCATATATTTTTTTTTCGTCGGAATCTTATTTGGTGAAGCATGCACATATGTACATAAGAATGGATGCACGTAATAAACATGCCCAACCTGTTCAAACAGGTTCTAGATTAGAAATTAAATACACGTACAGCTAAACTTTAATGTTAACCGTTCGCTATCAAGTTTAATTCCTGTGAGTAGGCTCTATTAAAGACCGAACTGCTATAAAGATTCGTCCCTCCCAAGCGTGCAACGTTACCAAAAACGGTCATTTTTTTGCAAAAATCTTCTTTTCTCTTACACCGTCTTCTTTTCCTTCTGAGGATTCTTTATTTATATGCAAGTCTGATGCGCATCCGGTTTTTTCTCCGAGTCGCGCATTGAGATGCGCATCGTTTCATTTCCGAACTTTTGCGATTCCTTTTTTAATCTCCTCCGCATCATCGGTATGACTAGATTTGTGATGTGGTGTGAATGGGTGAGAGGGCGGGGACGGATGCTTGTTATAAGGATATTCGAAATTTTGAAACAAGAATCATTCGCTTGTTCATCACCCGATGTTTCATCTTGCGTAGATTGAGGAAAAGTTTTTATCATCGACAGATTGCGATTTGCTCGCCGCCTGGGAGATGCCAGATTGAGATAATTGGCATGTAGCAGAATACAAACCTGTTGATGCAAGAGTACCACAGCCTCTCGCGCATGCAGCGTCCGAAATTGATTGTTTCGCGACAGCAGAATGAGAGCTAACCTTTGTGATCGTATACGGTACGTGCATGATGTGTGGTTATTCAATGTGACTGACTCGATGCAATTCGTGCGCTCATGATTTTTTCTTTCATCGGAGCTTTTTAGGTCATGTCATACGTCTCAACGCGTCTCGTTCGTTCGACAGAAAATTCCGTGGAAGCGAGGATTGATTGAAGGAAACGTCGCATTCCCTGGACTCTAACACGCGTTCTAGTGATTTGATGAAAACCGTGTGTGCATGTATTGAAAGAACGCTGCATGCATGTGATGCACGGTAAACACAAACATTGCGACGAAACCGGGTTTAAGCGTAAAATAGTAGTTGGAGAGGAACGGTTAAACAGGTTTCTTCTGTCTTTTACTCCACCTTATTTTAGTCATGAGAAAGAAGCATCTTTTTTTTTTTTCTCCGTGTGTTATTGTATTATTGTATGCCAATGGTGAAACAAAAACACCGTGAACAAAGAAACTCTAATGGTAAAATTAATATTAACACGGTGCAATCTGAAACCTTTTGATCCTAAGGGAGACTATGAACGAGTAACATAAACCAGTTATAGACCATAATTAGGGGTACACTCAGCTATAACTCAGATTAATCGCTCTAACCATTTTCGTGCACGTCACACGTATACCTTTTCATCAAAACCCCGGAATTGATGTGAGTTCACGTGCCTACCGTAATTCAGAATAATTTGGTGGCACATGTAACCTCGACGATTTCGCAATTACACTAAAAGGCGGTGCACAAACCAGTTCTTTGTGCTCACGCACTTATAAGGGAACGGCTGGTTGAGTTACAATTAAAATAATAATGGGATGGTGACAATCCTGCCCATAAAGGTCAACTAATCCCCGCACCGCATTACAACATCTTAAAAAAAAAGGTCACAAGGACACTTCTATTGTGGGTGTCACCTGACCCGAAAACACGAAAACGGTTTCCGAACGCCTTCACGCAAACAACCTTCCGCTTCAAGGTCGTGTAACGTGCACATGGGTACATGCGTAGGACTATATGACGGGTTGCCGGGTACGATTCAGCCGTCGTCGTCAACACCCAAACGTCCATCAAGATGATGATGATGACAAAGATTGGAACGCCACCTCACCAAAATTTGTTTATTACCCAAATGAATGAATGTCATTCGTCGTCGTGCACGGAAGCGGTAGATCAGAGATCTCTCTTCCTCAGAGATAATTTTTCGGAACACCGCATCGATGTTGACGAACCCTTGCATGCAAACACGTCTCACGCAACCGTGCGGATGTTTACCAACTGTCATCTCTGCCCGGAATTCTCCGGTTAAAGTGAGGGCTGAGCGTATGATCCAGACAAACTCGGCACCGAATTTATTATGGGGTTCCCAACGAATGTAGATTTCACTCACTCTGCGCAACGTAACGACAAAATCTATTTACGTTACCTGACTAATAACCTTGGCCATTGTGATATCATTCATGGCGTGGATGACGTTCGGATCTCGAATAACTTTGTTGTTCAATATTTGGATTATAAAGCACACAGTTCGTATCCATGTGTTATAAAAAAAAAAAGAAAAGAAACTTTCCATGCTGCACCATTGCATGATGACGAGAAAAAGTTCGCATCGCCGACAGTAATAAAAAACATAAACCTTTTCGGGACATTGTGTCCTGAGAGCTCACGTGGCTCGGAACATTGTTATCTTTGATACGCACGCACATACGCGCACACACACACTCGCACGCGCACGCGCACGATTTTCTCAAAAGTCACTCGACGACAAACACGCATATGCCTCACGGGTTTCAAACCCATATAACGTTTACACCACATGCGCCATTGTTTCACAGGGAACGCGTAAAAACAACTTTTCAAAAATGTCCTTTGATCAAATGACCTCGACGCGTATGTGATCATAAGCGACACAACTTTGTAAAAAAAAAAATAATAAATAAACACATGAAACAAGACGCGAATATTTTCGGAGCTTCAAAAATAACATCATCGTTCGTTCGATTTTAATGAATTTCGAGAGGATAAAAAAAAAAAAAAACAATAATAATAATAAAATAATAAAAATTCAAAAAAAAAACAAATAACAGTAAAAAGACTCGAGCTTTTGTTCTGCTACTTAGGGTCTATCTTATATACCTTAATTTTCTTATATATCATATCTAAGATCTTAGGGAGATTCCGTGAACTTTTTAAATCCATCATTTACGATTAAGAACAGAACAAATACTAATAATATAGGAACGAATATATTTTTTTTAAAAAAAGAAAAGGAAAAAGAAAAGGGGAAGAAAAAAAACGAAATGCAATGCTTGTGTGGTGCTGAAAGCTTAGAATTACCCATAAGAAGATTTCATATCGTAGGTTGAGGAAGGGGACCCACAGAGAAAAAAAATTCGAATTATCTGACTGGTTTACATTAATTTTGCTTTTTGTTCATGTAAGATATCTCGACAAGTTAACTCATAATGGGATGTTGAACGCAAATAGTACGCGTCACATCCGGGTTGTGTACGAGTTCGAGAGCAAGTTCGGTGAGGATAGACGTGCGGTCATAGTCTATCGCAGAATGAGTGAAGTAGACTTTCTCAAACCGACTGAACCTTACGGACTTTCGCTTTCGTGCAAAGTCACATGGTTCAGAAACGACGATGGTAGAATTTTTTGCCATTAGAACGAATGTTTTACGATGTAACGGAAGAAAAAATCGTAACGTAAGATAATAAAAATAAAAATAAAAAACGAGGAAGTGAGTTGAAAGGAAAAAGAAAGTGTGGTAAATAATTCGTTAGTTATTAAATATAAACAAAAAGATATATTTGGTACGGGTTTATGATTTTGATTGAGACGTGAGTGGGCGAGGTTGAAGGGATAATGGGGTAAGTCGTTACAATGTTGTCGTTATGCTTTAATCTTCCTATAAGTTTAGTTATTGAAAGATGTAAAGGCAAGGGGGGTGGGTGAGAAGTCTGGATGGGAAGTGTGGTGGGTTTTAATAGTTTCAAGGAAGACGGAAGGATGAATAAAAAAAAATTTTTTTTCAAGTGAAATGTAAAATCGACTTGTGAAATTTTTATTATACTAGCAGGTAAAAAAAAAAAAAAAAAAAAAAAAAAAAGGTAATAAAAGCCGATTGTGTGTTACGGATTCGATAGTGTAAAAAAATCCTATATATGAAAAAAATAATAATAATAAAATAAAATTAAAAATGTGTTAACCAAGATCGAATATATCTGCGACATCAAAGGGTTAATGCACCGAAATTTTTTGAATTACCATTACCATTGAAAAAAAAAAAAAAAAAATATGAAAAAATTTTTTTTTCATTTTTTTTCATTTTTTTTCACGTACATGATATACATATATACGTACGTACAGTACATACATATATACACCCATTTTATACAGGCTATACTATACTATACTATGCTATACACACACACACACATATACATACATACCTACATACCTACATACAGTACATACGTAGGGATGGACGCAAGTAATAAAAATCTCACTTACCGTTATATCGATAGATATAACAAAAAGAAAATTAAGACCGTTGGTCAAGTGCGCAAAAAGTATATGTGATCCTTGCTGGAGAAGGAAAGAGTTGGTCGGGAGGGAATCCACATTTATACCTGAAACGACGAAACACCGAAATAATTTGATCCATTAGTATGGAAATACGGCTGAGACGATAAGCAGTGAAATTATTAGCAGCCATAACGTCTCCTCTCAAGAGTGAACGACTCCCTGACAGATGTTCATTATCATTATTGTTTGGGTAACGAGAAAGGGGTAGAAATTTTTCTCTTGCCGATGGACGAATGACAATATAATCACAACAGTATTATCATGTATGTAGGAGCGAACCGTTGGTTGATGGTTTATTACACATCGATAGGCCGATAATGTCGCTAATTAGCCAACAAGTATTTAAGCCACATCGAACAATGTAAGCAAGAAAAAACAATCTTTGGTGCAACCAGCGCTTACCCCCAAAACCCTAGATTTTCGAAGCGAACACAATGCACCAAGATGTCACAAAGAGCGATGATTCTAATAGCTCAACCAGTTATTTGTACGTAAACATTTGACACGACAAACAAAAAAATTTAATGATGGTATTACGTCAAAGTACACGTTTTTCTATTCATGACATCATAGAATTGCCGGATTTGGGTGACAACAAAACAAAACGCGAATTGTCAGCTAATGGTTGTCCGCAAAAAAAAAAAATATTTTTTTTTTTTGGTTCACTTTTATTTATTTAATAATATCTATTACCTGGATATTAGCAAATAAATAATAATACTGTATATTTCTGATGGGGGAGTTTTTTTTTTTGATCGGATGAAATGTAATGCGTACCTCCATTTTAGTTCAACAGTCAATAAGGTTGAGAAGAATTTTCTCGGTAATTTAAACCCCGCCAAATCTATTTCAATGCGTATCAAGTGTCATCTGATCAATATATGCAATAAAGCACTGTATGCAATGCGTAATCTAACAGCAAAACGGGTAAAAAGAGTAATCGTGTAGAAGGTAGTTTGAGCGTATTATACCAGGTGTTGCTATGACGTTCTCGCGTCGTAAGGTGAAACCCGCAAGCCGCCTTTACGAACATCTTTAGTAAGAATCATTCGATGAAATGGTTTCAAGTTCTCCTACCGGTCTGTCGGATGATTTTTTGGTTTGAACATGCGTGGGGGGATGTTGAATCTATTTCCCGTCACTCTGGTTCAATCAGAACGAAAAAAGATAATAATAACGCAATACAATGCCACAAGGAGAAAAACACAAAACAAAAAAACTTCATTGTCTTTCGGTCATCATCAACTCCTCAAACCGTTTTTTTTTCGGTAGATTCTCTATATACGATAACGCATGTGCCGTTATACTACAAACAATATACACAGTCGACGAAAAAAAAAAAAGGAGTTCTGCGTCAATAATCCCAAGATAGACATTGTACGACTTGGACTGCCAAAACAATCGATTCATTCGTTCACGTTAAGAAAAAAAAGAAAACCGGTAAAATCACCGAGGACAAAGCATCATACATAATAACACAGGAACAAAGTCGCCACACATACAAGACTTGACTTTTTCCAAAACATGGTCATTATTTGGGTGGGGAAATAAGGAAGATGCGGTGTAACAATTGGAATCTTATTTTTTGGGATGCATGTATGCCTCACGTTACCTATCTACGCATACATCGTGAATTATTCGGAAAAGTTTCATCCACGATTTGCTTTCTATTATTCAAAACAATAATAATTGTTTTCATAATAAATTCTTATCCGGTAGACAAGGCCAGGTGAATTTACAATAGATCTTAAAGTACAATTGATTGATGGATGATCTTTCTTCTCACAGACTTGTCGTCATTCGTCAAATGGTCACACCAAAAATCAAAAAAATCGCACGTCGACCATACTTTCTGTCGAACCGATAGTTATTCACACCTGATAACAACCTCATGGATTCACCGTAGAACCAGGCATGCTCACCTGTTTGTAAGTTGTGCAAAATGTTTCCGTAAAATATTTAATTTCAATTAAATTAGTAAAAGGAATAACCATGCAATTCACAAAGAAAATTGTGGACTCATCTGAAAATTGAGATTTGGCTTCGAGGTCATACGCACAAATGCACGCTGTGAGCGTGACACTAAAAAGTTTGTGCGTCAACTCCTAACTTTTTAGAAGCAAAAAAAGGTGCTTGTTTTTTTTTTCCTTGAATGCATCGTATTGTTATTGATTGTTGGGTTGGTCGTACGTACGTGCCAACTTGTTGTATTCACCCCGGAACGCATTTCCGAAAATTGTATCGATATGGGCTATTGTCAATTATTATTGTTGCACTTTTAGGCTGTGTGTAATATTTCGTCGAATAGAATTCATGCACTTGATCGACTCAAAAATAGAATATCCATCTGATCATCAGAGATCACGTGCTTCTTGGATTCTATTAGTCTAATGGTGAATATAGAAGCTCTCATCTCACATTTTATATCTGATCCTCGGAGACATGAAATATTGTACTTGGATGTATACATTCATCCAAGAACAACCGTTACACAGCCTCCTATCAACGAACGTTGATGTGCCTTTTCGGCAAGCTGCAATGGAACTTTCATCATGTCTTTTCGTGGTCAATTGTCAAGAAATTTTTATTTAACAAGTGACCTTGGGATTGACTGACACGCATTATATCTGCCGGACATTAAAGGGAGAATGGCTTATCATGTATGACGCGTTGACCTTTTAGGTAAAGATCAATAGAAATGGTGATGTTTGGTTCAGACAAAGAATTAGTAACATTGAGTGATCCCTCGTCGTACGAGATTCCACGCGACATTGACCCAACAGTTTACATCAAATGCATATTCAGGAATCACGCATTGATGATTGATTGCACAAGAGCTACCGGCGTTCAATGTGCGTGTGTGTATAC